TGGGGAGGTCCATGTGTATAATTGTCTCTTACACTGTCTAATAAGAGCTTTGGTAGTGGTTACAAATTGGGCTGCTAATCTTATGGTCAGTAGTTAGAAACTACCAGCTGTTTCATGGGAGAAAGATGAGGCTTTCTGCTCGTGTAAAGATTTACAGCCTCAGAAACCCTATACTGGGTAGGTATGAGTTGGAACTGACTCCATGGCACATAATGACAACAACAACATGCTGTCTAAAGAAGGTATTTGAAATGAACAAATCATTGGTTTTGCAGAATTCTACCATGTGATCTCCAGCATCATTTCTATCACCAAGGCCATATTTTCCAACTACTGATCCTTCCTCTTTGTTCCCAACCTTTGTATTCCAATCACTAGTAATGATGAATACATCTTGATTGCATGTTTGACCTATTTCAGATTGAAGAAGTTGGTAGAGTTCTCCTATTTCATCCTCCCTGGCTTTAGTGGTTGGTGCGTAAATTTGAATAATAGTGGTATTAACGGGTCTTTCCTGTAGGTACATGGGTATTATCCTATCACAGACAGCGTTGTACCTCATGACTGATCTGGATATGTTCTTTTTGACAATGAATGCAACACCATTCCTCTTCAATTTGTCATTCTTGGCATAGTAAACCATGTGGTTGTCAGATTCCAAATGGCTAATACCAGTACATTTCAGCTCACAAATGCCTAATGTATCAATGTTTATGCGTTCCATTTCATTTTTGACAATTTGCAATTTTCCTAGATTCATACTTTGTACATTCCATGTTCTGATTATTAATAGATATTTACAGCTGTTTCTCTTCATTTTGAGTTGTGCCCCATCAGCAAATGAAGGTCCCATGGGCTTTACTCCCATGGGTTTTACTCCATTTGCATCATCACCGTCAACTTTACTATGAGGAGGCAGCTCTTCCCCATTCGTATTTTGAGTGCCTTCCAACCTGAGGGGCTCATTCCCCGGCACTGTATCTGACAGTGTTTCTCTGCTATTCATAAGGTTTTCAGTGACTAAATATTTGGAAGTAGTTCGTCACTCTTTCTTCCTAGCCTGTCTTCATCTGAAAGCTCATCTGAAACTTGTCCACCGTGGGTGACCCTGCTGGTATTTAAAATACCGGTGGCATAGCTTTTAGAATCACAGCAACTCACAAGCCACCACAGTATGACAAACTGTGTATATCTTAGAGTATATTATAAACACAGGTAGCAAAACTCTTGCTAATTCAATAATTTCTACATGCACAATTCAGTGACACCGATTACATTTATAATCCTTTCCCAAATTATTCTACCACTATTAACAGAAACTTAGTGCCCCATTCCCCTCTCTCCCACCTCTGGTGACCACTATTATTATTATTATTATTACATCATAACCTCTGGTACAGTATTCTATTTCATGTAAGTGGGATCATACAGTATTTGTTCTTTTTTTCTTATTTTACTTTCCCAGGATCAGACATTGTTTCGTTCTGCTGTGCATGGGGTCGCTATGAGTCGGTTCCGACTCGATGACACCTGACAACAACAACGTTTTAAAAGTTTATCCATATTGTAGCACATATAAAGGAGCCTGGTGGCACAGTGGTTTAGCCCGAGAGTGCTAAGCAAAGGTCTGTGGTGTGAACCCACCAGCTGCTCTGTGGGACACAGATGGTGGCAGTCTGTTCCTAGGGATCCCTGGGGGGCAGGTCTACTCTGTCCTAGAGGCTTGTTATCATTCAGAATTGACTTTATGGCAATGGGTTTGGTTAAAAGCATGTATCTTTAAATAGTAATATTTTTATTTTTAAATAGTAATCTTTAAATAGTAACATTCCTTTGTGTATATATGTTGTTCTTAAGTGCCGTCAAGTCGATTCCGACCCATAGCGAGCCTGTATAGGGTTTCCGAGGAGCAGCTGGTGAGCTTGAACCACTGACCTTGCAGTTCAAATGGCTTTGTAGTCTGGCACATTAACCCACAGCACCACACCAGGACTCCTTGTGTGTGTGTGTGTGTGTATGTGTGTATATATAGATCATGTTTTGTTATCCATGTATCTTTTGATGCACATTTTTGTTATTGTGACTGTGCTACAATGAACGTTGGTATACAAGTTTCTGTTTTTATATTTCTTTCAATGTTAGGGGTATATACTTCTGATTGGGATGTATGGGTCATATGATAGTTCTGGAGTCCTGGTGTGGTGCTATAGGATAAGCTCTGGGCTGCTAACTGAAAGGTTGGTGGTTTAAGCTCACCAGCTGCTCCTTGGAAACCCTATCCAGGGTCCCTATGAGTCTGAACTGATTTGACAGCACACAACACCAACAGTAATTCTGATTCACTTTTTGAGGAACCAACTTTTCCACAGCTGCTGTATATTTTTGTATGTCCACCAATGGTTAAGAGTTCTAATTTCTCCTCCACAACACTGACAACTGTCATTTTGTATGGTTTTTTGTTTTGTTTTTGAGGTTTTTTTACTCACCAGTCACTCCTCAGAAATCCTATACAGGGTCGCTGTAAGTCAGAACAGACTCAATGGTGCTTAACAACAAAAACTAAGGAAAGGAGCACTGGTAACATAGTGAGTTACACATTAGGTTGCTAACCACAAGATCAGCAATTCAAATCCACCAGCAGATCCTTGGGAGAAAGATCAGGCTTTCTGCTTCCATAAACATTTACAGTTTCGGAAATCATGTACGGGGTCACTGATTTGGAACCGACTTGAAGGCCCATCACCACCATGAAAGACTCAGAACCCTGGTGATTTTGTGGGATAAGCATTGGACTGCTAACTGCAAGATTGGTGGTTCAAATCCACCAGCCACTCTGTGGGTAAAAGATGAGGCTGCCTGCCCCATTAAAAACTTATAATCTTGGAACCCAAGGAGCAGCTCTGCTCTCCTATTGGGTCACTGTGAGGTGGAATTGACTCTATGGCAGTGGGTCGGTACAACTATGAGGAGGACTGGTGGCACCGTGGCCACGTGTTCGCCTGCTAACCCAAAGGTTAGTGGTCCCAACCCATCAGCTGCTCTGTTGTAGAAAGCTGTAGCAGTCTGGTTCCATCAAGAGTAAAGCCTTGGAGGGAGAAGAGCGGAGTGTGGGACCCTATCCAGAGAAGCAGCAACGCCAGAGATGGAGGCAGAGACGATGATGTGGAGAGATGGAGTGGCTGGGGATCTAGACTCAGGGAGGGAGAGGGGCTGTGTGCTGACGGCTGGGAGACAGGCTTGCAGGGTATACTCTTTGGTTGTTTGAATGATTATATATTCCTGAATGCTTTGGTATACAGCCAAAAAAAAAAAAAGAGGGAATGAAAGTAAATAATGATGCATGGATGGGATTGCAGTCATTGCAATGAAACAAAATATGATAGAATGAGTGTAAAGCTGATGTTCTCCCATGTAAATTATCACTTAATTTACAATAAAAACTTAAAAAAAAAAAAAGATTAAAGCATTGGAAACCCTACAGGGCAGTTCTACTGTGCCCTATAGAATCACTGTGAGTTACAATGGGCTCTGTGGCAACAGCTTTGGTTTTGGATAATGATGTTGAGCATTTTTTCATGTACATGTTGGCTATCCGTATATCCTCTTGGGTGAAATGTTTATTCGAGTCATTTGCCTATTTTTCGATTAAGTGGTTTGTCTTTTTGTTGGTAAATTTTTAGGAGTTCTTATCTATTCTGGATATTAAAATGAGATCATTTCTGATACTCTGAATTTAACCATAGCTTCCATATTTCAGCTTGTTCAAAATCAAAAAGGATCTGTTCCCAGAGAACAAATATGAAACCTCCTCAAGGTGAACATGAACCCATGCCAGAAAAGTAAGTGTGATTTTATTATTACTTAAGGTACCAAAACCAGCTACCATTGGCTGGGGGCATATGATTGTCTTAGTGCTTGAACTACCTGTCCAAGATCACCTAGGTCATAATTGTAGAGAGTCAGGATGCAAACCTAAGTTGATCTAAAACTCATTTTAAATGTCATATTTTAATGTCAAAAGCATGCAGTCATTGCTAGGTAGTGGGGACACAGTGACAGGAAAAGTCCCCCATGGTCCCCACCCTCATGGAGTTTACAACTTGTTGGAAGAGCCAGTCATCCTTTGTCAGAGCCAAGAAGTACAGAGTCTAGGGACCTGGTCTAAGCTTCAAGGACACTGAGCTCCAAGGATAAATATGAATTAACAAGGGGCTAGAGGATAGGTTTGAGAAACATTCCAGTCTGTATAAGTTGAATCTCTCCAGTGGGAAGTAGGCAGACCCTTGGCAAGTTTAAGGACAGTGCGCTGGAGCCCCAAAGAGGGAGTGGCTGTGGGGCCACAGGAGGTTGGTGAGGGATGGTCAGTGGGATGGGAAGCCCGTGATGCTTTTAAGCAGGAAGTTTTTGTTTAGCGTTTTCATGTTTTTAAAAAGATCCCTTTGGCTATTGGTGGGTAGGTGGAGGCAGAGTGGCTGGTAGGTTAGAGGAGCCAAGAAGACTTGGAGCACAAAGGCCAAAGAGTAGTATAATGATCCAGGTGAGAGAGGATGGCAGCTGGGCTAAGGTGGTGAAAGTGGAAACAGAAAAGTGTGATGGATTCAAGAGCTACTCAGGAGATGCAATCGACAAGAGCAGTAGCTCAGAGCCAGACCTACTCAGATTGAACCTGCCGCCCATTACAAGGTGGTGTTATAGAATGTTGCCTCTGGAGACTGCTGGGGTTTGCATCTAGATTCTGTG